CCCCAAAACCCCAAAACCCCAAAACCCCAAAACCCCAAAACCCCTTATTTAATAAAATTTCTTGAATTAATTATATAAAATACGTATACAGCATGTTCAGTTCAGCTATTACTAGAAGACTCTCTAAAGCAACCTCAGCCCTGCCTTGTAGAGCTTTCGGATCCTTTGTAAAATTCAATAGGGATGATCCTCTAGACCTTGAAGGACTCCTTACTGAAGAAGAGAAGTTGATTCAGCAGACAGCTAGACAATACTCTCAAGAGAGATTAGCTCCAAGAATCTTGGAATCACATCGTCATGAAAAATTTGATATAGATATTTTCGAAGAGATGGGTGAACTTGGATTCCTTGGATGCACTATTGATGACTATGATTTACCAGGAATCTCCTCAGCAGCTTATGGACTAATTAATAAAGAGTTAGAGGCAGTAGATTCGAGTTACAGAACAGCGATTAGTGTACAATCATCTTTGGTCATGTTTCCTATTTACGAATATGCTTCCCAAGCAGTCAAGGATCACTGGATTCCAAAGCTTGCAACAGGAAAGACTATTGGAGCCTTTGGACTCACTGAACCAAATCATGGATCTAACCCAGGAGGCATGGAAACTACAGCACAAGACAAAGGAGATCATTTCCTGCTAAATGGTAGCAAAACCTGGATATCTAACTCTCCAGTCTCTGACGTATTTGTTGTTTGGGCAAAAGATGACAATAAAGATATTAGAGGATATGTGCTAGATAGGAGCATGAAAGGAATAGAGACCCCAGTCATTGAAGGAAAGTTCTCAATGAGAGCATCTATCACAGGAATGATTTTAATGGACGACGTTAAAGTTCCAAAAGAAAATATTCTTGATGTCAAAGGACTCAAAGGTCCTTTCTCTTGTCTAAACAACGCAAGATTTGGTATCTCATGGGGAGTCCTTGGCGCTGCACAAGATTGATATGAAAGAGCTAGAGAATATACTCTTGAAAGAAAGCAGTTTGATAGGCCATTAGCTAATAATCAGTTGATTCAAAAGAAATTAGCAGACATGGTCACTGAGATTTCATTAGGACTTCATGCAGTTCATAGAGTATCTCAACTCAAAGATGAAGGAAAATTATCCCCAGAGATGATCTCTCTTGTAAAGAGAAATAACTGCGGCAAAGCCCTTGACATCGCAAGACATGCTAGAGATATGCTTGGTGGAAACGGTATAGTAGATGAGTATGGAGTCATCAGACATTTAATCAACCTCGAGACTGTAAACACATACGAAGGAACACATGATATTCATGCTTTGATTCTTGGAAGAGCTATCACAGGTCTACAAGCTTTCTTCTAATTAGAGAGTAATTCAATAAATCTAAGCTAATGAGGGGTTTTGGGGTTTTGGGGTTTTGGGGTTTTGGGGTTTTGGGG